CACACACACACACACACACACACACACACACACACACACACACACACACACACACTCCTTTTCTCTCTCACACCAACAGAGGGAAATACATTGTTCCTTTAGTGTTAGCAGAGGAAAATCCTTGCATGTATATCATGATGATCCCTGCCACAAGGGAGAGGCTCTGAATAAGACAAGGGTAATAGGAGGAGGGGGGGACGCCAGATTACAGAGCAGTGGAAAGCAGAGGCCTTTTAAGCCTGCAAAGTCAACTCCGACCTTCTCCTGACTCTTTGGAGGGCTTCCAGAGAGATGCCATTTCTTCATATGACAGATGTTGTGTTATGTTAATGGCTAATTGCACTGAATTACATCATGATGCAGTTCTGTTCACTGCTAAAGTAGAAAAAGCCATCATTCATTCACCAAATGGTTTTCACATCGGATACTCTGAGCCCAGTAAAAACCACAAGGCTTAGAAGGCACTAGACAATGTTAGGTAAATACTGTCTGGGTAGCAACTGCCCAACATCTAAACATGCCACTCATGTTCACTGACCCATATTCAAGGCCACAATAAAAAGCTCATAATCACCAGCCTTTTGTGTAAATAGCTTCAGCAGGAGAGTATCTGGAGTAAAGACTGGAGCTGGAGCTCTTGTGGTAGCTGTTGTGATAGCTTTGCATCGACTCTCTTTTTGGTTAAATAAGTTAGCGATGACATGATGCCTCTGACATGTCACTGCCTTTGTCTAATTCTCCCTGTCTGAGTTGCTCCGCACTTCATATTTTGATGAGTTGAAACATAGCAAAGGTGATTAAATCTCTGCTTGCTGCACATCAACATGTTGTTTGCTTCTCTGCTGAGGGGGAAAGCGTCTGCTGCACCAGCAACAGGAACAGCCGCAGCCTTCTATCACTCCTTTTCATCTCCTTTACCTCCCGCCTCCCTCCCCTCTACCAGCCTCCGAGCTACAGAGTAATGGAACTCTGTACACAGAAACAAGATACGGCATATAAATGGGATGCAGAGTGAGAGAAGCTATTTCTTCTAACTGAAAATTATGACCCAGGTATCGCAAAACTACAGTGGTGGCAAACATAGCCCCTCGTTCGCTGGTAAGACTAATCACCACAAATAAAGAGCAAGAAAGAAAACATTGTGCAGCTGAGTAAAGGGTGAGAGCAGCTGTGATGAGGTGAAAAAATACAAACGTTGTGTCACAGTGTCCTGTGTGACGTTACAGACACTCAATGATTTACAACAACCAGCTCAAAGGTATACAAACCAGAGAATTGTAGAAGATTAAAGGTGCAGCAAGCTTTGTTTCTCCTGTGTCTCTATGAAGATCTTCCAAAAGTAGATTTTCTGTAGTTAAGATTTTTCTTTTTTTGTTGCCACAAGCGGAGAATATCAACTGTAGTTTGCAGAAAACAAAGTTCATCTTGCTTCTGGTAACAGAAGCTGAGCAGATGCAGATGACTTTGTTGCAGAGTTGTTCTGAGTACCAAAACCCCCCAAAACATATAAAAACAAAAGAAAACTAAATGGACTAATAATAAATGCTGTAAAAGCAAACCAAACAACTTTTGGTGTCCATTTTCAAATCTGTCTTTATGTACACTTAACCATAAAAATGTAGAATTTCCATCACTATACTTATCAGCATTTTTCATTTGTACTCAGAGGAAATGCTACATGAAAAACAAAAATGTGTAGACCAATCAGCTTTCATGCAAATGGACCAAAAAAGATGCAACCATAGGTAAAGTGTTACAATCCAGACATTCTACTCACATTTTATCTTTTAACTGTGTTGATATATCCAGTTTATTTGTGTTTCAA